ACACCTTGCTACGTGTACTGTGTTAGGCTAACCGAGACTTGTCATTTGCACTTATATATTGTTGCTCTTTTGTTAGTTTTGACTGCTTTTATTGTCCTCATTTGTAAGTCGCTTTGGATAAAAGCGTCTGCTAAATGACTAAATGTAAATGTAAATATTGACAGATTAATATTATAAGCCCAAACTCGTTTGAAGATTAAACAGGTGTGCTGTGCCCATTTCCACAAATCAGTCTGAGACTGTTAAAAATGCATGATCACATTGATCAATAGCAGGAGATGAGAAGAGCTCTCATGCAGCAAGCATCGTCAATACCTGAGACTAACCAGTATAATTAAAGACCATGTATGAACACAAATCAAATAGGGTCAATCATTATATTCTCATACACATGGGCGTATTGGCATTTCAAACATAATACAATAGTGCATATGTTTTGCATCCTGAAAGTAAATACTGTTTGTGGATGGTTACGGCTGGATGAGTCAGTGGCACAATTGTGATTAATGACTACTTCACTTGTACCTATGTACACAGGGCATACAGATAACCATTCAACCCTCAGCGAACAAGCACACACCCACATACACTAGGCCACATTCACCCAGACTGAGGTAATAGCTGGGTTTTCTTGAATACAGGGCATGAATACATGTGGGGTAGTGTTATCCATGTCAGCACTATATGGTATGTGTTTTTAGTTCCTCTGCAGATGCTCTGAATGCCTACTCCAAGTCTGAATGCTGTTCCATTGATGCATTATATTTTAAAAGCTGCATTTGCTTTGGATTCAAGGACAGTTCTGAATAATGTCCTGTTTTCATGTGACAATGTGGACTTTTTACATTTACATCAGTTGCAATTAACATTGAAAACTCAGCTTTTTATCAGAAGTACATAGACCCTATACTGCATTATGTAAAAGTAACATAAATTGTGTGCAAACTTGTATGCATTTGTTACTACAGAATGAAACACAACTAGAAGTTACAGCATTCATAAAATGTCAAAAGCAGGAAGAAAAAACATACAAAATCTGTTTTTGCAAGTTTTTAAAATGATAAGAATTACACTTGCACTTTGAGGCCCCATTAATTTAGGTTTAGCAGATGGGTGCTCTGTCAGAAGGCTAAACATTAGCTGCCTCCACAAATATCAATCTATCCTATATCACTGCTGCGCCATAATTATACGCTCTGAGTGAGCACTGCACTATTTTTGGGGTGAGCTAATAAGTAGCACATTAGTAATGATCCATTTACTACCAGACAAGCAAATGTTACTGTGTTAATAGTCGTAAGCTCATAGCTGTAAAGTCGTTTTTAAATGATGTTGCTCTATGTTCATGGTGAAGACAGGAATATGCAGAACAGACCAGGTGTTTTATTCTTTTTTTGTGCTGTGGCATCATCAGTCATATGATGCTGAGAACAAAAAATTAATTATAAGTGGTTCATATATCAATGCATATCTACATATCATACCAAAATGTGTCCTATAGATGTAGTTCAACACATGCAATTGATGAAAATAAGTTAATTAAAAGTATAAAATGTTCTTTACTGATAAGATCGTAAGTCGATAAAATGGTATAAACTGTAATATTGTGAAATATTCTTGCAATTTTAAATACCTGTTTGCTATTTTAATATATTGTAAAATGTCATTTATTCCTGTGATGGCAAAGCTGAATTTTTAGCACAGATAATATTCTGATACAAATTCTGATAATAATACTGATTATAATACACTGGTTCTCAAGAAACATTTATTTTTATCAAATAATAAAAATATCACCTTCATAATCATGACATGACACCTACATAATCATGACATGACACGTGTCATGAATATGAATGGTTTTTATGCATGTTTATGACAACTGTCATTAAGTGTCATTCACTCAGTTATGTAATTTTTAATGCAAAGATGACAGTTTTTTTAGATGTCTTTGTTATGGGCTATGGTTAGGGGTAAGGTCAAATAATGTCATATTTGCATTACAAATGACATAACTGAGCATTTATTTTTATCATCAATGTAGAAAGCATTCTTTGCTGAAAAGAAAGTTCAAAAGAACAACATTCACTTAGAATAGAATAGAATTCTTTTGTAACAAATTTCCTTATTGTCACTTTTAATCAATTTAATAGATCCTTGCCTACCTGGTCTCATGGCATAAATGTACCTGGGTGCACTTTTTTAGCGAGATGCGAAATACGTACCAATAAGTACATTTCCCTTTTTCTAAAATAAATGAACACTAGAGGCAGTAAAACCCCGACACCTTTTATTCCTTTTCATGCAAATTTACAGAGTTTCGATTAATAAAGCGTAATTTTCGCACAATTACTTAAAAAATATCATGTTATGACTTCAAAACAATATTAATATGCTGGGAGATTTGAAAACTGATGCTTTTGAACGTTAGCATCATACACATCCAGCTTCATATCTATGGGTTTTCATAGGCGGTAGGCTTGTTCGGTAGCTCACGGAGTACGGAGATGTACTTGAGAGACGAGGAGCTCCGGTATGAATCCTGTGTAACCACGGCTCGACAAAGCAGTTCAAAAACGGTGTTGCACAAAAAGTGCACAGAGGTACACATTTTTATGAAACCAGGTTGTCCTTGCTGAATAAAAGTATTAGTTAAAAAAAAAAAAAAAAG